CATGTCGGACCGCATCACTCATACCCCAACATACCTCCTTCCGCAAATAAAAATAGTTACGTAAAAGCATGTAAGTCTGACTGCATAAATTACATTAAAACAAGTTTTAATTTGTATTTATTATTTGCCGTAATTGGGTCAATTGTCGTCTCAAATGTCGTCTGCATTATCTCGATTGTCGCTTATAGGTTGAAACTACTTCATGTATCTGAGCGCCTTTGTTTAGACTAGTTAAATATGGTTTTGCATTTTACTGGATTTCCTCCAACAATGTTAAATCACACAGATTTAAGCAGTATTTAATTTGCTCACGTATAGCGCATACAGAGATGATTTAAATACACATAGGAAATATGGACGTGATTCTACAGTTGTTCTAACATTGTAAATTCTGGAACGTTGTCAGAGTAAGATTTAGGATTCCGGATGTGGTTGTAATTATAGCAGCGTGTGACGCTCCTATATACCCGGGAATAGAAATGAAGACATGTATCAACTATCTTCTGTGATGTAATTATCGTTCACATCTCCTGTCATATAAACAAATTACAATATAATTATGGGTTAACTCGGTCTCCGACCAGTTTTACTACTTTAGAGAGAGTCGTGAGAAATTGCGGTGTTGTATATAAGAGCTTACCAAACCACATGCATATTAATGACCAACATGTCCGAAGGTATTATGCTCTTCCTGCAAGCGGGAAAGAGTTCTAATAAAAATAAACGTACACAAACTGATACGGCTTAATTTTTGTTCTGCTATGTCTGTTTAAATACGGAAATATGAACATCTCATACCGAAGGAGCCTATGTAAGCGATAGGTTCATGACACAAGCCTTGCTTGCTTACCGGTATGTTTTGGAATGTAGCCAGATGATAGAAACATATACTGACGGCACACACTAAAGTCATTTTATAATTGCAAGAAGGGAATCAAAACCATATGGGAATACTGTTAGAAGTTTTAAAAGTATTATTAAAAAAAAACCGGTTGACTATAGCAATCAATTGGTAATAGTTTGTAGTCTGTCTCTGAAATTGAACTACCCTTTGTAAAGTATTTCTCTAAGAACACACACATTCGCTAATTATAATACTGTATGCATGAACAATATATATCAAGATGTCTGAAACATCGACCAGAGGTAATGCGTACTTGTGACGTGTCTGTGACCATTGTCAGTAGAAGTATCATACGTATGATACACGTGTACCAATTCGATCTGTACAGCTACACGTATTGTTGAACAAAGAAGTGGCAATACAATTTTATAAATTAAGAATTATGATAATCAAAAATCTTGCCTGCAAAACCATGCCCTTATACATATATTGGTCTCTCTATTTAATTATTACTTTATGACAAGATAAACTGTGCCCGCCCATTGAAACATTCCTGTTGTAGTCATCCCATTCCTTTGACCTAGATAAACCGCTGCATGTCGACTGGTAAAGAAATAAAATACATACGGAGTATTGGTCAAGGTCTATCGGCAGGCACGGGTAGGTTTTTCCGATCATCTTATATGCAAATTTACGGTAAGCATTTCAGGGAGGTGTCTGGGAAACACAGGTAGGTGAACAGCTTGAAAAGCTGCCGCCTCAGTATTCCAGGAATCAAATCACACGCAGGATTACAAAGCAGTTACGTGTATCCAAAAATAAAAATTCTACCTTATAAAAGTCTCCGTCACGTATGTCTCATTTATTCCCTCGATTTGTCATCATGGATAAAGGTAAGGAATTATAAGGCGTTTTTGTTACAATGATATTCTTTGATTGAAGAATATAGTGATATGAATTCAATCAGTGCAATTACTCCGTTGTAGACTATAAACAATTGGCAATTTATAAATGACAACAAATCGACTGCGCAGTTTAAATAATTGAAATATTGAAACAGAAAGAAAAAACGCGTACATTATTTGCCAGCGTGACATTCGCATTCCACACTTTTTATTACTTGCCACTGTAACATGTTACCAACGAAATGCCAAGATATATGTACATCATCTGTACTTTATCGGATATAAGTATAATTCCTAATTATAAATAACTGAAATCATATATCTTTTCCGATTTTTCTATCATTAACAGATGAAAAATATATAATTTTGCTTCATGAACGTATATCTGTATATCATAAGAAGGTGTACAAATACATTCATATACCAGATTAATGAAAAGGGATGGTGGTTAAAAGGTCTAATACATACACGTTTGCACCAACGAAATGTTTTGTTCACATAATTATGTTATCAATACGGTAGATACATGTAGATACACATATATTTTGAGAAGTTCTTTTTACACAACTAATACAATTCTCCATGTGACGTTTCGATGACTAGTACGATATGTGCACTGTCACCTTCATCAGACAAATAACCAGTAAAATGTGTATGAGTTGTCCACAAAATTGATGTCGATTTCGGCTACGCTGTAATTAGCGTACATGTACGTACAATATTGGTAAATATATGTACCGAAATGACTCGATTAAGCTACGCTTTGTTTAATACTTGGTCATAGAAAATGTTTAGAGATACACATATATGTTTGACAATAAATTACTGTATAGGGACACATATTTTCTCAATAAAACGTTAATAACTTTAGATACACACAAATTTGTGTGTCGACAACGTTAAAAATGTACATATTTTGTATTAGATATGTGTAGAAACACATATATTTTGTACAATAAAGAAGATAAGTGTGTAGATACACATGTTTGTGTAAACACAGTATATACATGTACAGCTGTAAGCATGTAGTTGTCCAGTGTACTCTATAAGACTATTTCACGCCCTGATTACCTAGAATTACAATAACCGATCTAATTATATCCTACATTTGAAAACCAATCAATGCCATACGGATTGGTCTGGTAAAACAACTGTATACACTGTATTTCATACACATCATTTTTATCGAGAACTGACCTTTCCTTCCCTAATTCTGATCCTGTCAGCGTGGTTAGCGTTAAACTTATATAAGAATCAACAATATTTAACTAATTTAACGTTCATTGATAAATACTTTGTCAGCAAGTAGCAAATTGACTACTATCATACACTATATTCTTATACATGACGCTGCCATAGTGAGAACAAGGGTGGCGTAGACGACCAGCCAGTACTATTTGGTAACCCTTTAGATAAAGAAAACTGTTTGTAGTTTGCGTAATAACTAAGACATATATTTACACACGACATGTTTGATTTTGCACCGATCTAAAACAGACATGTGCTCGACACTGAATTTAACTCGATCTAATGCAGTGATTCACCTAGACAGGAATAGTTCATAGTCATCCTACCTTTCTATAAGATATGAACGAAAGAAAGAACTATTATTGGTGCAACAAAAGATCTAAATCTAGAACTACAATATGCATTATTGGGGTGGTTTTAGTGATCAACCAAAGCATATTGTTTAAGATGATATCTATTTGATGTAAGTTTGATGTATGCAATTATTGTGAAGTAAAAGCAATAGACGCGTAACACATTACTATCGGGGTTAATGACTCACGTGTAAAGTATCATTGGGTACATGTCAATTACACACTTACCGGTTTGGTCACGTTTCGCCAGGGAGCATTCGGTATATCACACAGTCAGCATGATACGTATTTAACTCTACTTAATCAATATCATGAAATGTCACGAAAAATAGGCTAGCACAAATAATGTTTTGATTTTGGAAACAAAAAATTTCGAATGCGGGAAACACGACGTAGCTGTTTCATGCCTTTACATCCAATAGTCAAAACGTTTCTTTTCCGGGGTGTACGTAGCACGGGTGAAAATAGGATAAATATTCAACCTATGACCAAATGACCATTATACACCAAAAACACATAGAACAAATAATCAGCAACAATATTAAACATGAGTGCTGTATGGTACCCTGACAATGAGAAAATGACAGAGCTACGGTTACGACAATTACGAATATCATTGGTCTGTTAAGTGTGAAAATAAACTTTATTATCAGCAAGTTTAAACATTTTGATAAAATAAACAAAATAATAAGTAAAATCAAATTAAAATATTTTCTTTCATTATGACTGATAAAGGTCCAATTGACGACGGAACGATTATTTTTATGTTAAATGTGTATTATTGCAGTTGACGTGAATTATTTTTGTAAATTTATACTGTGTTATATAAATGTTTTTGAGAAGTTGTAAAAACCTCCAATGATAACAAAACATGTGTACGTTCATTACAACCTTTTAACAACCCAATTTGTCTGGCTGTTATAATGTACCAATATAATGGTTCCTCTGTAACGATCAGTGATATTAATTAATGACTGCATTTTGTATTTCATATTAACAGGATTAAAAGGAAAGAAAAATGTGTTTTAGAAATCAGGTTATTTTGTAGACTGATTATCTACCGAGCATCTGTCTCATAGTGGCAGTCACAAATCTGCTACGGATATCTCTGTGATGTGAACGCTTTCCTAGGAACACAAGCATCAATGACAGTTTATTTCAAAGAACCATTTGCATTATGTCTCCGCTATACATAAATAATATTTGTATTCGTTTTTATTTGTTAAAATGTTAGGCTTTACGGTGAAAATGTAAAGTTAACAATATCATTTGCACGTTTACTACTTCATTCAACGTGGTTTCCTTTACAGTATTTGTCAATTCAGTTTAGGGTTAAATTTAAAACCGTCCAACGGACCAGATTAAAGAACCCGTATGATGACAACACTCTATTCACATACTTAACCACCCGTACCCAAATTCCAAATGCTAGTCAAGGTCCTTGTATGTTATAGGTAATGATTGTGTAGGACATTATCACACACATAGTTACTAACTTGGTGACTACTTTGTGACTTTAAGTGTAATACAGTGTCCACGACCTTATAAGGTCAAGCGTAATTGTATATGATTATTGTCTTCCATGGCGACGCGCAATACTTCTTATTTGAAAACATCCTCAAAGCTTATTATAAACTTAACGAATATTATTTACTTAAACAAAAATAGAAATGCAGGGGACACGACGGGGTCCCAAAGTTGTAGGTTTGAAATACGTTAGTCGGATAGGAAGCATTCTACTGTATTCAAATTTATTACTTTGTCCGACCTTAAAGAATCCATAACATAAGTTGCATGTACAGTGTGGGGCTCTGGATAATGGGCAGGTAGAAGCCTGTATACAAGCGTCTGTGTACAAGTCTGTATCAGCTACTATTGTAATTGTACTACTATTATACTGCTACTGTACAACTACTGCACTGCTACTGTACTGCTACTGTACTACTACTGTACTGCTACTGTACTGCTACTGTACTACTTCTGTACTGCTACTGTACTACTTATGTACTGCTAATGTACTACTACTGTACTGTACTACTACTATACTACTACTGTACTGTACTACTACTGTACTGTACTACTACTGTATTGTACTACTACTGTACTGCTACTGTACTACTACTGTACTGCTACTGTACTACTACTGTACTTCTACTGTACTACTACTGTACTGCTACTGTACTATTACTTTGCCGCTACTGTACGTGTACTGTACTACTACTGTACTACTACTGTACTGTACTACTACTGTACTACTACTGTACTACTACTATACTTCTACTGTACTGCTGCTGTACTATTACTGTACTACTTCTGTACTGCTATTATACTACTATATATAGCTACTATTGTAATTGTCCTACTATTATACTGCTACTGTACAACTCCTTTACTGCTATTGTACTGCTACTGTACCGCTACTGTACGTCTACGGTACTACTACTGTACTTCTACTGTACTGCTACTTTACCGCTACTGTACTACTACTGTACTACTACTGTCCTGCTATTGTACTGCTACTGTACCGCTACTGTACGTCTACTGTACTGCTTCTGTACTACTACTGTACTGCTACTGTACTGCTACTGTTCTACTACTGTACTGCTACTGTACTGCTACTGTACTGCTACTGTACTACTACTGTACTGTACTGCTACTGTACTACTACTGTACTGTACTGCTACTGTACCGCTACTGTACTACTACGGTACTTCTACTGTATTGATACTGTACTATTACTGTACTACTACTGTACTGCTATTATCCTGCTATATATAGCTACTATTGTAATTGTACTACTATTATACTGCTACTGTACAACTACTTTACTGCTGTTGTACTGCTACTGTACCGCTACTGTACTACAACTGTACTACTACTGTACTGCTACTGTACTATTACTTTGCCGCTACTGTACGTGTACTGTACTACTACTGTACTACTACTGTACTGCTACTGTACTATTACTTTGCCGCTACTGTACGTGTACTGTACTACTACTGTACTACTACTGTACTGTACTGCTACTGTACTACTACTGTACTGTACTGCTACTGTACTACTACTGTACTGCTAATGTACTGCTACTGTACTGCTGCTGTACTGCTACTACTGTACTGCTAATTTACTGCTACTGTACTGCTACGGTTCTACTAATGTACTGCTAATGTGTTACTTCTGTACTGCTAATGTACTGCTAATGTACAACTACTGTACTGCAACTGTACTGCTACTGTACTGTTACTGTACTTCTACTGTACTACTATTGTACTGCTACTGTACAACTACTGAACTACTACTGTCCCTCTACTGTACTGCTACTGTACAACTACTTTACTGCTACTGTCCTGCTATTGTACTGCTACTGTACCGCTACTGTACTACTAC